CTCTCCTCTCCTCTCTCTCTCTCTCTCTCTCTCTCTCTCTCTCTCTCTTATACACACACACAAAATAAATAAATGTAAAGATAGTTTTTAAAAAGAATTCTCTTCCCTAAATAACTAAAATAGTTTCCTTTCCCCTTCTTCTCCCTTAAATATTTAGGCTTTTTTTTTTTTTTTTTTTTTTTTTTTTTGGTTTTTACGAGACAGGGTTTCTCTGTATTGTTTCGGAGGCTATCGGTCCAGCCCGGCCTTGAACTCACAGAGATCCGCCTGCCTCTGCCTCCCGAGTGCTGGGATTAAAGGAGTGCGCCACCACCGCCCGGCATATTTAGGCTTTTAAAATGTTGTTTTTCGCCGGGCGTTGGTGGCGCACGCCTTTAATCCCAGCACTCAGGAGGCAGAGGCAGGCGGATCTCTGTGAGTTCGAGGCCAGCCTGGACTACCAAGGGAGTTCCAGGACAGCCTCCAAAGCCACAGAGAAACCCTGTCTCGAAAAACCAAAAAAAAAAAAAAAATGTTGTTTTTCATGTGTGTGAGCACTTTCTTTGCACATGTGTCTGTGCACCAGTTGCATGCCTGGTGCCATTAGAGGCCAGAAGAGGGCGCTGTCAGATGTCCTGGGACTGGAGATACAGATAGTTGTGAGCTAACATGTGGATGCTGGGAATGGAACTCTGGGCCTCTCAAAGAATAATCAGTGCTTTTAACTGCTGACTGGGGAGTCATCTTTCCAACCACCAGACCCCATTTCCCCCAACCTGCCCCCCCACACACAAAGTCTCACTGTGTAGTGCTGGCTGGCCTGAAACTCATAGGGTACTAAACATTTTTTTTAACTTTGGGAATTATTTGAATATAGTTATTAACTTTTGGAGAAAGGCAATGGACTAACACAGTGGAGAACGTAGGGGCAGGTTAACTAATGGAGCAGGCCAAGAATAAGATCAAATGGGGAGCGGCTTTGATGAGGTGGTCTTTAGAGAAGAATTTTGCAGCAGAAAGGCCTGAAATTCAGGCAGGTCTCAACTGCTTGAAAAATGGCAGAGAGGTCAAGGCTGAGGACAAGGCTTGGAAGTGTGCTTGATCTATGAAGTTTTAGAAATGTCACATTTTTTTTTTTCCAAGACAGATTTCTCTGTATAGCCCTGGCTATCCTGGAACTCCCTCTGTAGACCAGGCTGGCCTCAAACTCACAGAGGTCTGCCTGCCTCTGCCTCCCGAGGGCTGGGATTAAAGGCATGCACCACCAGCGCCCGGCTGAAAACTTGTTTTTTAATGTTTTATCTCCACTTTACAAAAGTATTCCTCTTTAAAATGTGTTAGCCCAGTGGTTACCTAATTTTCACAAGACCACACAGATGATGAGAGGTGGAGCCACTTGGGGAGTTCTAGTTTGATGTCTCTGACTTCAATCCCCTGAATGTGATGTCTCACACTCCTCTGTAACACAGAAAGGGCCCCAGCCACCTCATCCTCTAATACACTAGCCTCCCAGCAGAGTGGCCGGGGCACATCCACAGGGTGTGCAAGCCATCTGAATGTGGAGGACATTTCTCTTTCCCATCCTTGTGTGTGTGTGTGTGTGTGTGTGTATGTGTGTGTGTGTGTGTGTGTGAGAGAGACGTTGAATTTTTTTTAGACAGTGTCTCACATAGGTCTTGAACTTCTGATCCTCTTCTGTCTGCCTCTGGAATGTTCAGATTACAGTAGTTTTTAAATCTAAGAAAAAAAAACAAAATAATTCAGCTTTGCTATTTACTACATAGATAGGTGTTCTTATCCCTATTTTGCTGGGTGGTTTTGAGCCATTATCGTGTCTTGAGACATAAGAGGTTTTGTTTTTTGTTTTGTTTTGTTTTTGTGTGTGTGTATGCTTTGTTTTTCGAGGCAGGGTTTCTCTGTGTAGTTTTGGAGCCTGCCTTCTGAGGACTGGTATTAAAGGTGTGCACCACCACTGCCCAGGGACAGTTTTATAGCACAGATGGAAGCTGGTGCTCCCCGAATATTATTTTTTGTGGTACAAGAAGTGATGTTAATTTTTGTAGAAACATAAATCTTACATAGTAGGATTTTTCTTTCTTTCTTGGAAGATTTTATTTTTTAACTATGTGTGTCTGTGTGTGGGTATGTGTACATGATGTCAGTGCCCTCAGAATCCAGAAGAGGGTGCTGGATGCTTTGGAGCTGGACTTACAGGGGGTTGAGAACCATTCAATATAGGTGCTGCAAACTGAACTTGGATCCTCTGCAACAACAGTGTGTGCTCTTAACCTCTGAGCCACCTCTTCAGCCCCTCACAGCAATATCGTTACAAATGCAGTGGTTCTCAACCTGTGGGTAACAACCCATTTTTGACATATCAGATATTTACATTACCATTCATGACAGCAGCAAAATCACAATTATGAAGTAGCAACACAATGAAATAATTTTATGGTTTGGGGTCACAACATGAGGAGCTGCATTAAAGAGTCGCAGCATGAGGAAGGTTGAGAACTCCTGAACTACAGTCACCTACAATGACATATACTGATTGATCATGAAGGGATTGGTTTCATCCAGGGCTATGATGGGTGTTTCTTGTCAGGGTATTAAAATAGTTGTCAGGATCTATAAATAACTTGTGCTTTTACAAAAAGTCAAGCATTAACAGTCTGCTGACTTTGTCAATGATAAATAAGGCAGTTGTCAGTTGTACACTACTTTGCAGATACTAAAAAACAATATTTTTAAATTCTGTTCCAATGTAGGATTGGCATTTTGACAAGTGAGAAAGCAACTGCCTTTCAAGAGCTGCTCCAAAGGGTATTTTGAGAGATGGTATTGAGAAGTATTTCCATTATGGTACATTTTCTGTTTTGTTTATTTGTTTAAAAAATGCTAGGGTTTCTATGTGGTCCTGGCTGGCCTAAGGCTGACTACGCAGAGTACACTGGCCCTGAATTTGCCACAGTCTTCCTTGTTTCTACTTATGTTGTACTGGAATTATAGTTGAAGTCATTTTTCTTTTGATAAGTGGGTTGACTGTAATCTGTGACACTTCAAGGTCAACCTGGGCTTCACGGTGAGACCCTGTCTCAGCTATGTTTTGTTTTGTCTTTTTTTTAAATATGTACTTTAAAATTATTTATTATGTATATAGTGTTCTGCCTGTGTATGTGCCAGAAGAGGTCACCAGATCTCCTTACAGATGGTTGTGAGTCACCATGTGGTTGCTGGGAATTGAACTCAAGACCTCTGGAAGAGTAGCTAGTGCTCTTAACCTCTGAGCCATCTCTCCAGCCCCAAGACCCTGTCTCAAGAACACCCAAAATTCAAATCAACATATATACCATGACTTTCTAAAAGCTTACATATACCTGCATAAAAATAGCCTTATGTGAGCCTGTATAATAGTAATTTTTTAATGATTCTATTTGTGTTGATATGTAGCTTTGCATGTTCAGGGTCTCAGGTTAACTCCCCAGCAACAGAGCAGTGTAGGGTGACTTACTCAGTACCTCAGTACCTGCGTCAAAGGCTCTGAGGTTATGGGAACATTGAGAAGTGGGTCCTACAGGATATACATTAGGCTACTTGCTTTTCCCCCAATCAGGGTTCCTCTGTATAGTCCTGATGTCTTGGAACTCTCTCTGTAGACCAGGCTGGTCTCAAACTCAAGAGGTCTGTCAACGCCTCCCAATCGCTGGGATTAAAGGCGTGCACCATTATGCCCTGGCAACTAAAAATGCATTCTCGAACTATTTTTAAAGATTATTGTGTTTATATAATCTCTGTGTGGATGGTGGTGGGGTGCACATGCATACCAGTGGAGGTCAGAGGACAATGTAATGGAATCAGTTTCTCCTTCCAATTTTATGTGGGTTTGAGCACTGAACTCAGGTGGTCAAGCTTTCAACCATCATGTAGCAAGTACCTTTACCTGTTGAAACATCTCACTGCCCAGTATTTTATATTTTTTTGTTGTTTTTTGTTTTTATGAGACAGGGTTTCTCTGTATTGTTTTGGAGGCTGTTGGCCCAGCCCGGCCTCGAACTCACAGAGACCCGCCTGCCTCTGCCTCCCGAGTGCTGGGATTAAAGGTGTGCACCACCAACGCCCGGTTTATATTCTTTCTTTTAAGATTTATTTTTAGCTGAGCATAGTGTTGTACACCTTTAATCCCAGTACTTGGGAGGTAGAGTCAAGCAGATCTCTGGTCTACAGAGTGAGTTCCAGGACAGCCAGGGCTACACAGAGAAGTCCTGTCCTGAAAAAAAAAGATTTATTTCTATGTTATATGAATAAGTGCTTTGCCTGCATGCATTGTCTGTACACCACATGCATGCATTGCCCGTGGAGGTCAGAAGAGGGCTTCAAGTTCCTTGGAACTGGAGTTGCAGCTATCTGGGTGCTGAGAATTCCTCTGCAGGAGTAGTCAGTGCTCTAAATTGCTGAGCCATCACTTCAGGCCGTCACATTCTTAATATAGGCAAATAAATAATGTGGTGTTTCACCTCCTGAAGTTAGTTATTATAGGTAGAGTTAACCTGGCAAATAAAAATTATAGGATACCCCAGTGAGTTTCATTTTCAGATGAACAACGAGATTAATTACTTAAGAAGTGTATCCCCGATGTAAATGTACATTTCTCTCCTGTCAGCTAGTTCTCAAATTACCATACAGAGACTTATATTAATTGTAAATGCTTGGCCAATAGCTCAGGCTTATTATTAACTCCATGTATTACCACGTGACTCACGGTTTTATCTGTCCTCTTGCATCTTGTTCTCTGGTGGCTGGCTGGCATATCTCTCTGACTCTGTTCTCCTTCCCCCTAACATTTTCAGTTTGCCTTTCCTGCTTAGCCTTATTCTGCTTTGCTATAGGCCAATCAAATTTTGTTTTTGTTTTTTTTAAATTAACCAATGATAGTAACACATATTCACAGTATACAGGATTATCCCACAGTACCCCAAGAGTTCATGGACAGCTTAATACTAAAACACAACTCACCATTCATCTGAAATTCATACTGAACTGAATGAATGCCTTTTATTTTCTCTGGCAACCCTATTTACAGAAATGGGAATAACCCAGAGAAGCTGAGGGTACAGGTCTGTGGTAGAGCACTTGCCTAGCATGCACAAAGCCCTAGATTCAGTCCCTAGATTTGAAAAAAAGATAATAACTCTGTCCAGAATACCAGTAGGCTATAGAGACTAGGTGGTACTATGTCTTTGCTCTAGTTGGTCACTGAACTTTTAGGGAACTTTCCAACAAAGCCCCTAGAATTGGGCTAGCTTGTGACCAGATCCTGAACTATTTTTAGGCTGAGGTTTTTTCAGGGATTGGGGGGGAAAGAGTCATGTTTAAAGTAGTGGATTAGAGTGTGTGATTAAGAGGGGGGAGAAAAAGGTGTGCCTTACATATTGACAGAGTAAAAGCCATTCCAGACACATCATTACTAGTCCTCTCTCCTCTACCCTAAGCAAATAAGGCAGAAAGGAAAGATGGCCTATTAATTTAAAGGCAGAAGTCCATTTTTAAGTTGAGTATGTCAAGCAGAGGAACTGAGATGAGAAATATCCTTGCAATGAATGGATAAAACTTTATGATTGTTGTTTTGAGGACAGGGTCTCTTGTAGCCCAGGTTGACACTGAACTCCTGATTCTCCTACCTCCACTTCCCAAGTACTTGGATTACATCTCTGCACTATTGTGTTCATAGGATAAAACTTTTGTTTTTGTTTTTCTAGACAGGGTTTTTCTGTGTAGCCTTGGCTTTCCTGGAACTTGCTCTGTAGACCAGACTGACCTTGAACTCATAGAGATTCACCTGCCTCTGCCTCCTGAGTGCTGGGATTAAAGGCAAGCATTACCACTGCCTGGCCAAGGAAACTTCTAAAAATAAAGTATTACATATTTTCCTATTTAAAGGAGCATATTCCATTAGAGCTCTCATTTTTGGATTTGGTGATTTTCAAGTAAGTTCAGAATGTTACAATATGGACTTTCAAATGAACTATTTGCAAAAAGACATAATTTTGCTTGCTAGGTGAACCTTTCCCATGTTCATCCCATCTTCATCTTCAGAATTTCTTTAATCCGTTTTCCATCAATGGTTGTATTCAACCACTCTTGTGCCATCTGTGGTCCTGAGAATGTAATTCCTGTTAAATCAAAAGGGCAAAACCGACACCTCCTTATTTCAGGAGTTAATTACCTCTAATGACAAAGGGTAGTTTCTTGGGAAAGCACTACATTGAAAAGGGGACTTTCAACTGTACCTGGTAAAATTCCAGTGCACTTACCCAGTTTCTTCACTGAGATCAATTTGGGGACTCCGGGCACTACTGGAAGGCAGCTACTTCTGGCCTGTATTGTGATACTGGCTAACAGCTGTGCATCCTCAGAGCTCCACGCTCCAGACCTTTGCCTCACCACTACCAGTGAAATAAGACACAGCTATGTTCGTATAATGTTTCTTGTGACTTGCAAATACATCTGGAACCAATGGACAGAGAACTTTCTCAATTTAATTTTGGCAATTTTCTTTTCACTTTTTTTTGGGGGGGTTGTTAGTGCTAGAGGTTGAACCCAGGATTTGAAGCATGCTAAAAGCCCGTGCTCCACCACAGAGCGACAGGCTCAGTCCCTTTTAACCCCCTTCTCTTTTCACCTCCGTATACCAAGTGCCCTATCATACTGAACAATTCAGCCTTTTTTTTTTTTTTAACCGATGGACTGGGGGTGGGCGGGTGAATTAGAGAACTGAATCGGGGAATAGAAGAGCAGCGATAAATATTTGGAGGGGGGCAGGTTCGTTGACAAAAACAGACAACCTGCTTCCGGACGTCCAGTCCAATCCCGTGTTCCCTCATTAGGACAGGGACTGAGCGCCCCAGGAGGCAGCCAGCGGCGCAGGGCGAGCCACGGCCCCTCTAAGAGAGGAGGGGGAGCCCGCAGCCCGGCTGCCGCTCTGATTGTTACGCGCGTCCAACTTCACAGAGTGCGGCGCGCCGGGGCCGCCGTCCAGCACCAACCGCGTTTCGGCGCGGGCAGCAGCCGCTGCAAGCCACCGCCCGCCGTCACCCGGCCGCCGTCCGCGGGGGAGGGGCAGCTGGCGCCCGCGTTCTCCGGCCCGGCGGCCGGCGGAAGGGCCCCGCACCGCGGAAGCGCGACCGCAGCTGGGGATCAGCTGCTGGAGGAGGCGAAGAGGCGGAGCCTAGGGTGGAAGGGGAGGGAGGGACGCGGCCGTGAGGAAGCCGCGAACGCCGCCGACCGTCTGCACACCTCGCTCCGTCTGCCATGGCTGGCTAAAGAAGCCTCGGGCTCGCCGCGCGCGGGGAGGGCCGGGAGGGGAGCGGCGGCCGGGCGTGCGGCCGAGGGAGGGGCGGCGGCGCGAGCGGCGGCGGCGGCGGCGGTTCCAGCATGAAGAGGAGAGCTGGCCTGGGGGGCAGCATGAGGTCAGTGGTGGGCTTCTTGTCCCAGCGGGGCTTGCATGGGGACCCCCTGCTCACTCAGGACTTTCAGAGGAGACGCCTGCGGGGCTGCAGAAACCTCTACAAGAAGGACCTTCTCGGCCACTTCGGCTGTGTCAATGCCATTGAATTCTCCAACAATGGAGGCCAGTGGCTGGTCTCAGGTAAATCAACCCCCTTCCCTTCCCCTCCCCGCGCTTCCCGGTCCCCTTTCAGCCGCCCCTGGCCCTTCCCCGCCACCCTCCTGCTGCCCCGAGCCCCTACCCCCGCCCTTCTCAACCCCTCTCCAGCGGTGGGAAGATTTGGTGTGAAATTAATACCATTGCAGGGAGACGGAGGGAGGGAGGGGGAGGGAAGGAGGGAGGGAGGGGAAGGAGAGGATGTCTTCTATATATATATAAAAAAGACCTAAAATGGTTGACAGGTCCTTAAGGCGCTTTATCCCAAGTGCAAAGTGGTCCCTCCAGATGCCTGCCCCGCAAGTGTGGGTCGGGGAGGGGGCGAGGTTACGGCTTGCCTAAGTTGGGTGGCAAACTCTTCCTCTGCGTAGTTTAAAAGGTGCGGGGGGCGCTGGGGGGGAGGGCTCGCAGCGGGGAGAGGCCGGGACGCGCCAGAGGCCAAGGGAAGCTCGAGTCCCGGTCCTCGGCGTCTTGGAGAAAATAGGCCTCGGAGCCGGAGGCCGGCGGTGACAGGGAGGGACAACCCGGGGGCCAGCGGGGTCGGGGCGGGTGGTGACGGAGGCGTCCCCTCCCCCGGGCTCTCTTAGGGCCCAGTCCCATCTCCCTCCACGCAGTGGTAGCCTCTTCCGCGTCTTGTTTTTATTACGGTTCCGAGAGTGTCTAGGGCCCTGGAGACCGAGGGATGCCAGCCTGAACTTGGATGTGCTGCTTCGGAGGCAGGGGTTCGGGACGACCCCTGAGGGACTTACTGGCGGGAGGCGGGCCCCAGAACCCCCTTCACCCGCGGCTCCTGTTGCAGGGCTGCTCGCCTTCTCCTCCCCCTCCCCGCCCCCTTTCCCCGTTTTAGCTAGGCCTACTTGCCTTCAGGGTTCCCCCCCGGGGGGGGGGGAAGTAGTGCAATCGAGGCCGGGGCTCCGGCCGGGCGGTGTAGGCCTTGCTCTCCCGGGGCTCCTAGCGACAGGCATCTGAATCGATAGCCTATTGCTCCCGGGAGGCCCGGCCCGAGCGGTGGCGGCGCCTGCGTACGCGGCGGTCGGGGTCGCCGGCCGCCGCCCGCTCCTCCCTGGGGTCGCGGCCCGGAGCGAGGGCGGGTGGGGCTGGGCTCTCGCCAGGGAAGGGGCGGCACCCAGAAACCCGACTGCGCGGCGAAGGGCCTAGACCAGATCGGGCGTTCCCGCTCGCCTCCTTCCTCCGCTCGTTTTCCTACATTGGGAGGGTTGAAGGGGGAGCCCAGCACTAGACGTGGCGCTTAACTTCACCCAGGTGGATCCCCGAATGGCTTTCTAATTTGCGTCCGTGGGCCAGCTCTCCAGAAACTTAAGCGATTAAGGCAAAGCATCTGTCTTTGCAAGTAAGAGGCGGAAGTGACACCCTGAGTATGGTCCAGTTTGTGGGGAGCAGAGATAAGAGGTCTGTGATTATTTCATGATAAGCCGGGGACTTCTCCAGAACTGACCCCACCTTTTCACACTGGATCGTTTTCTACTTGCACAGAGTTTGGACCCTAGATGACACTCCCACACCACCCCCAAGAAACCTAATATACTACTTCAAGGCAGACCCTACATTAAAAAGCTTCCTCCCACACGCCACATCGTAGAATTTTATCTAATACATTTCAGATACAGAAATGGAGAAAGACCCCTTCTTTAAAGGCTATTTCTGTGTTAGTAATACAACTCTCTCACTGAGACTAACTTATTACGACAGAGAGGCTCCCAGACAGTTTACCTACAGAATGAGGGACTCTGAGGATACTCTTACAATGAGCTAATTAATCATAACCGATCGCACACAGCCCCAGCTTAACACACTTTAGATATAAGCTTGAAATATAATAGTCATATGCATTTCACACTTTGTTTTCTTTTTTGAGATGGGTTCTCTGTGTAACCCTGGCTGCCCTGGAACTCAATCTGTAAACCAGGCTGGTCTCAAACTCAAGAGATTTGCTTGCCTCTGCCTCCTGAGTGCTGGGATTAAAGGCATGCTCCACCACGGTCCAGTGCATTTTGCACTTAATCTTAGCCAAAAGGCAGAGAAGTAATAGTTACATTTTTTTCAAAGACCAGAAGGGCCCCTGAGCTACATGTACTCCCAGCATTATTTTGTGATCCTTACCTTGAGCAGCTTTTGTTTTTGTTTTGGAGACGGGCTTGCTGTGTAGCCCGTGCTGTTTTCTGTGTCCTCTGTACTGTAGTTGAACCCCATTATCTCTAGTCTTGGCCTGTTCATTTCTTTTTAATTTTTGTTTGAGAGTGAGTCTGTAGTTCAGGAGGGTCTGAACTCTGTATGCCACCAAGGATGACATTGAACTCCTATCCCTGCTACCTTGATCTATCAAGTGGTGAGCTTATATTGTTTTATTTATTTCTTTTATTTTTAGGAAACAGGGTTTCTCACTTCTCCCAGGCTATTATGGAACTCACATTGAAGTTCTGACTGGCCCCAGGTGCCTCAGCCTCTAGAGTGCTGGGATCGTAGGTGTGAGCCATGATGCCAGGCTCTTTCCTTCAGTTTCTACTGTAGAAAAGGAGGATTTTTCTACATAGGGGCAGGCTCTGGTTTTAGGTATTTGTTTTCTTTTCTGGTCTTGAGTTCATCCCTCTCCATCAGTTAATACTTCCTGGGTTCTAGCCAGCCTGCCCTCCCCTATTACTCCTCCTGTCCCTGTTCTTCATGGGGTGTGTGTGTGTGTGTGTGTGTGTGTGTGTGTGTGTGTGTTTGTGTGTTTTGGTTTTTCGAGACAGGGTTTCTCTGTGGCTTTGGAGGCTGTCCTGGACATATCTCTTGTAGACCAGGCTGGCTTCGAACTCACAGAGATCCGCCTGCCTCTGCCTCCCAAGTGCTGGGATTAAAGGAGTGCGCCACCAATGCCCGTGTGTGTGTGTGTGTGTGTGTGTGTGTGTGTGTGTGTGTGTGTGTGTGTGTGTGTTTTAATCTACTCCTGCCCTTGCTCTTAGTCCTTCCAGCAGTCAGTTCTATTGACCCTTTCAGTTTGACTCGATATTTATTCCCAGAACACAAGTTTTTGTTAAAGCAGTTCTTCTATTATTTGTATATAACTTGAGTTAATTCAGAATTCTTCCTGCTTGCTTTTGACAAGGAAGCACCCTTGGGGATTGATAATACACTGTAACTTGTTAAAGCTAATTAAAAAATATGTTTTCCTTTGGGAAGTCCTTCAGTAATCTTCTCACATTTCAAACTATTTGAAGTGTTATATTTTTATGCTTTTTTTTTTTTTTTTTTTTTGCTGTCATAGCCCAATCTAGTATGGAGTATGTACTGACTCAGTACGAAGCTGAGATGACTCAGTGAACCCCTTGATTCTCCTGGTTCCACCTCACAGGTGCTGAGATTACAGGCATGAGAAACCCCCCCTTTGTAATTTTTTCCCTACCCATCACTGTCCCTTATTAACAGTTATCATCAGAGGGGCTAATCACATACTAGTGTGAGACTAGTGCATCTATTTCCAGTAAGTCACAATAATATTCACAATAGTATAATGGCATATCAGACTCTAGGATGGTAATCAGAGTTCTTTTGTGCATGTTGTTGTTTTTGTGTCTTGTTTGGATTGGTGAAGGCCCTTAGAGAGTGGGGATACCTCTGTCAGACTGTCTCTAGTTAATTGTTTTCATTTGCCAATAGTTGTGACAGGCCCACACTTTTTGTAACTAATACACAGGCTTTGATAGAATTAAGACCTAGGACAAAAATATGTGTGTGATTCCTGTGGCTGTATAAAGTGTTATTGCTTAAGGATACATGCTGTCCTAACAGCTGTCTTCCAGGGTACAGTGAGACTTGCAGATACTCAATGGAGAGGAAATCAGGACCAAAAAATGTGTTCTGCTATGACGGCAAGGGAGAGAATGGTTGATGCTTTGAATTATTTGACACTGTATTTTTTCATTTTTTAAATATGTATTTGTATGTATATAGTTGGTTTGTCTGCATATGTCTGTCTGGTGCCCTTGGAACGCCTTGGATTGGAATTACTGATGGTTGCAAGCCACATGGCACTGGGAGTTAAACCCAGGTGCCCTGGAAGAGCAGCCAGTATTCTGAACTGATAAGACATCTCTTCAGTCAGTCTTATTTGACACTTTTAAGTTATGAAAATTTACAATAGTGGCACACACTTGAAATTTCATCCACTTGGGGGGTTAAAGCAGAAGACTGGAAGTGGCTGGTGTGGGTATAATTTAGTCAAGAGCCTGTATTTTTAAAAAAATGCTTAGTTGTATGTATATCTAGAGAGTGATTGGCCTAGTTTTCAAGGCTCTCTGTCTAGTTCTCCCAATCTGTGGTATACTTACATACTCTTTAAAGTTCTAATCTTCTCTTTCCTCCTCCTCAGTGCTAGGATTACAGGTATGTTCTGTGACCATGGCTGGTTTTAAGGAAAATTAGGGTTTTTTTTTCATCCAAAAAGTTACTTTTGTTATTCTTTAACATTGACCAAAAAACAAAAAAGTGTCACTATGATGCCTACCATGGAAGCAGTGTGGTATCATGGCATGACATGTAATTAAAATTATTGCTAGGCTACTTAAACAAACCTGTGACCTTAGTTAGGTTACTAGCCTTTCTGTGCTGTTTTCCAGGTCTGTACAATAGGAATACCAGGGCTGATCAGAAGGATTGTTGTGAGACTTAGAGTAAGCAAAGTAAAATGTTAGGTATTTAACAGAAAGCAAACATCTCATAATAAAAATTGTTGGTTTTTTAAACTCTTTTGGTGCTTATTGGTATTGCTCATAGTTACCAATTTGTCTACTGTTGGTAATAGACCTGTGAAAGTTGGGCAAGATGGTATGGTTTTGTGACTGTTGTTACCAACTGAGGATTAGACTCAAGTTCTGGGTATTCCAGGCAAGTGCTATATATACAATACCTTAGCTTTTAGTGGATTTTGTTTTGTTTTGAGACAGGGTCTTACCATGTAGCCTTAGATAGCCTTGAACTCATTATTT